CTGCTGAAGTGACCTTTCAGCTCCGTCCTTGTGTACATTATAACACTGCTTTCGTCACGATCTTCCTCGTTAACCAGTAACCTGGGTTAATGTCAGGTGCAACCACACATGATAAACTCTCGTTATACATACACTCCACATGTTGTCAGTACATAGATAACTTGCATATAGGAGAGGGGAGCTTATGACGACGTTTCGGTCTAACTTTGACCATTTACAAAGTCACACTGTGCCTTTGTAAATGGTCCAAGTCGGACCGAAACGTCGTTGTAAGCTTCTCTATTTTGTGCTGGTTCATGACTCACGAAATCGTGAGTCCAGAGTTTTACGACCCACCGCGAGTTCAATCCCCACCCGTGGCATGGTTTGTGTGCTGGTTATTTGTGTGTTGTTCCAGTCATGGTATTGTGCCATTTTGTTCTTTACATACTATCAGTTCCTCTGCACTTTCATCTGTTTGTAACCGTTCATAATCCTGGGTTAACTCTTCAAGGTTAATCACACTCTTTGACTTACTGGAATCATCCTGGGTTAATAATCCGAAGAAAATGATCTTCTTGCAGTAGTTTTGACTCTTCCTTTCATCTTCTCTTAAGGTACTTAAGTAACAATAGTAAGACACTCACTTATAACGTCATTTGTCCCTTAAGTTACAAACTCCGGCGCTTTACAGAGGCCAGGTAAACAGATTTTACTAAAACCTTCATCCCAAAGTTCATTTTATGTGTGGGAGTGGTCGTAGGCGAGCCTTATAGCACACTTTGTGGCCGGGAAGAGTCCACGCTCAACGCCATGGCTAAATTATCTACAAACTTTATATACAAACTGGGGAAATCCAGGGAATTCGTGGGCAGTTGATGGAACTCGTGGTGGTGGAGGTTGTTGTGGTCATGATGATGAGGGGAGGTGATGGTGATAGCGATTGTCGTAGTGATGGTGGGTGTGGAGTAAGAGGAGGAGGAGGAGGAGAGGCCTGATGAGGAGGAGAATATAGATGGGGTGTTGTAATAACATTTCTACAAGTGCATGATACAACTATTACAGATCTGGCTGACATCATTGACGTACTATATAGAAAGTCCCTGGTAATGCAGGACATTTCTGGCAACTTAAGTTAATATTTGTCCCTCAGGATGCCACCCACAACATTCCACTAACACCCAGGTACCTGTTAGGTGAACAGCGGCAACAGGTGTAAGGAAACACGTCCAGCGTTTTCACCCGTGCCGGGGATCGATCCCGAGCCCTGTGTGTGTGAGCTGGGGACGCTACCAACTAAGCCACAAGCAGTTGTCATCTCCCTGCGACGTAAATCTTGTAGGAAATAATGAGAGAACTACCACTGACTAAGGTAATTTCCCAATATTAGTTATCATTACTCCCCCCCCCCGTTACCACCCCCTCCCCCCCGTTACCACCCCCCCCTCCCTCCCCCGTTACCACCCCCCTCCCTCCCCCGTTACCACCCCCTCCCTCCCCCGTTACCACCCCCTCCCTCCCCCGTTACCACCCCCTCCCTCCCCCGTTACCACCCCTCCCTCCCCCCGTTACCACCCCCTCCCTCCCCCGTTACCACCCCCTCCCTCCCCCATTACCACCCCCTCCCTCCCCCGTTACCACCCCCTCCCTCCCCCGTAGCACCATCAGTACGGTTCCCCGAGGACCAGATATATATGTCATGCTTCCATCCCGGGGAAGTTGCCAACAGTGTAAGACAGTCACAAAATTGTGGCTACCAGCTCGTCGTCCATCAGGAGCCCAGTATTATTATTATTATTATTATTATAATCAAGGGGAAGCGCTAAACCCGTAGGATTATACAGCGCCTGGGGGGATATGGAAGGCATTCAGGCTTAATTCGGGGAACTGGAGCACAGATCCAATTCCCTAAATCAAGAGCCCCTCACCAACATCAAGGAACCTTCCCTGAGGGGAGGAGCCCAGTAGAGACCAGCCTGGACGATGGTAACTTATCACAGGTATGTGTGTCATCCCATGCTGGGGATGTGATGAGGTGTATATTGGCGAGGCGGCCACAAGTGTAGACCAGAGAGAGAGAGAGAGAGAGAGAGAGAGAGAGAGAGAGAGAGAGAGAGAGAGAGAGAGAGAGATGGACTGAAAAGACATACTTTAGGCTAAAGGACTGATTCCCTTAAGCTGCTCCTCATTTTCCACCTTTCTGTGCATTGGCCTGAAGAAGCCACTAGTTGGCGAAAGGTTTCCAGAATAAAGATACCCAAATGTTGCACAAGTCTGTCATTTCTCAGCAAGTGTCAGACACGGGCCAGTAAGCTTGCTGCTTGTCATCCTCTATCGATTTTTTTAAAAGTATTGCCTGCTGCATCAAGACTGAACATTGTTTATAATAATGATCCATTTGGCTTTGTATTCATGCGGACTATTAGCAGCAACAGACTGGTTAAACAGTCAACAATGAAGTTCAGGTCAACAGAACTCGCGAAACCAGTCACGGGTATGGCGTTTTTTCCAGAGATAAAGTTTGATATCTTAGGTGAAAGTGAAGGTGTATGAGTGGAGCAGCGTGTGTATCAGATACTGTGTAATCTCTCACTGGGTTACGGTATTTATATCACTAACACGTGTCAACACTACAAACTCTGCAAATTAAAAAGCACAATATTTTGGTTTGAACAATAAACAAGTGAAATTTTTAATATTTATTTTTTTTTTGTAAAGTGATACAAACTTGGTTACAGTGTGTTTATGCTCACGAGTAACCCACTTTTTAAGGAGGGAAACGTTACATGATGTTTCGCTTCCTCCTGGACCGTTATGTAAGATAAAATGCGTGAAGACTCACGAAATCGTAATGACACGATTGCAAAGAAACCATACCACGGGTGGGGTTTGAACCCGTGATCACAGTCTCTCAAATCTCCAGACCGTCGCGGGTTCAAACCCCACCCGGGGTATGGTTTGCGTGAAGACGTTTCGGTGGATGAAACGTCTTGACAGTAAGATTCTATAACCAGCATTATCTCTTATTTATCACTGTCGGTATTATCTACCATTATATTACCTGGACCATTATCAAACTACCATTTAATGGTCCAGGACAGACCGAGACGTCCTCTTAATGTTTTTTCTATGAACTGGGTTACTTGTTAGTATATAAACGTTATAACTTTCTTAACATTTTACAAGAAATCTACAGGACTTGTTAGGTAAGACACATATGCAACAGTTAGGTATCTTTATTTCGAAACGTTTCGCCTACACAGTAGGCTTCTTCAGTCGAGTACAGAAAAGTTGATAGAAGCAGAAGATACCATTTTAATGTTCACTCTGTCAGACACTGCAACACAAGGGTATCTTGGTACAGACCTGAAATCAACTTGGACTACTATTGCTAGTGAGAATGGCTGGATTTGAGAGGGACCTGACCTCCCAACGACTTCATTCTTGCCTCTAGTAGTGGCCTACATCTTACCTCTTGGCGGTATATAAGGCTCCATCCTGTCACTTCAACTCCATATTGTTTCAGACTATGGAACAATGCTCTTCTCCAGACTGAGGGACTGACCACCTCAAAACTTTAAGGGTGATGGACTGATTACATCGTCTTCAAGTATCTTCTGCTTCTATCAACTTTTCTGTACTCGACTGAAGAAGCCTACTGTGTAGGCGAAACGTTTCGAAATAAAGATACCTAACTGTTGCATATGTGTCTCACCTAACAACCTGTCGGTATTTTATACCATTTTAATCTATAGGACTTGTTTTCAACTAATGATAATTTATAAAGGAAACGAGAGCTAAATGTTGAAACAAAGATGGATGGAATATGGAGATAAATGGTAGAAAATACCGACACGACGGAAGAATACACAAGATGCAGTATAATGCCATTCTTTATTGCTAATGTTTCGTCCACACAATGGGCTTTATCAGGTCACAAGCAGATCTACCTGGGTGCTGTTGTTTGATGTTTGCCAGTACACGGCCTGGCACGGGTCTTAATTATAAGATGACCCGTCAGTGGTGAGGCATGTAAGTTGCAGGGTTGTGGCAGGGGGCCCTGGCCGCACCTACACTCACTTGCTCACTTCTTCTCAACTTGAGATGAAGTGTGCGTGGACTCTGGAGATGAAGTGAGCCTGAACTCTGGAGATGAAGTGAGCGTGGACTCTTGATAGGAAGAGTGGGTCACGCAGTCGCCTTGACCATTCCCACTGTGAACATTCATGTCAAGTAGTGTACCGCTTACATCCCTATGGCAAGGGCGCGGTGGAATACGATCTATCAAGTATTTATTGGGTGGAGAGTCAGGTGGAGACGGACTGGTACAGGTCCGTCTCATATACAACCTACCCAACATTCTCCACTTGACTCTCCACTCTATAAATATTCATGTACTATTCACCCAGGTAAACATGTTTGTGACTTGTTAAAGCCCACTATGTGAGCGAAACGTTGTCAATGAAGGATCACATTATACTGCATTTGTTTATTTTCCCAGTGATGGAGTGTGTACAGTCACTGTCGTGTTAACATTTTGGTTGAACATCAAAATGGTATACAATACCGACAGGTTGTTAGGTAAGACACATAAGCAACAGTTAGACAACTTTATTCCGAAACGTTTCGCCTACACAGTAGGCTTCTAGAAAGTAGGCAGGAACAGTAGAGATGTGAAGACGATGTAATGGGTGATGGACTGATTACATCGTCTTCACATCTCTACTGTTCCTGCCTACTTTCTGTATTCGACTGAAGAAGCCTACTGTGTAGGCGAAACGTTTCGGAATAAAGTTGTCTAACTGTTGCTTATGTGTCTTACCTAACAACATTTTGGTTGCCATAAAGTCACTATAGTGATATACTCCACCCGCGGGGAATTTTTTTTTTAAGCTAAATTTATGTTTGTACTCAATTTCCATCTTTTATATTGCGTGGTGGCTCTCTCCCGCTCTGGCTTTGTTTCTCTCCCCCGTAAAACTTTGTGTTGTAGAGTAGTAACACTGGACTTTGTGTTGCAGGAGCTGACGGAGCTTCACCACGAGAATGTTGTGGCTCTTCTGGACTGTAAGGTAAGTTTTCCATCTTGACCAACACTCGCCCATCTCCCTATATCCTGCATCTCTCCTTTCCACCCACTCTCTCACCTCTCCTCCCTCTCGCTTCTTTACCCCCTCTCTCCTACACCTTTCTACTCTACTAGAGTGCATGGGAAACGTGTGTACTAGTGGCACACTTTGTGTTGAGCTCCGAGGCGAGAGTGATCACCCAGGCCACCGTCATTGTTTACTCTGGGCACACACGGAGATGCGGATACCCCGCCGCCAGGTCAAAGCAATCAGGGTCACCATCACCACCTGGGGTATTTGGGCACGCTGCCCTCCACGTGGCCTTGTTATGTTGGCAACCTGCCCTAACATGCCTCGCTTCAAGCTCATTCCCTTTCATTTCCTTCCTACAACTCTTCCCTCTTGATTTCCTCCTGCAGATCCCCTCTTCTACAACCCTTCTCTCTTGATTCCCTCCCGCAGATCCTCTCTCCTACATCTCCTTCCTCTTATTTCCTCCCCTATAATCGTTTCCTTTCATCGCCTTCTCCACAAACCTTCCCTCTCAGGCTGGTTGTCACCAACTATTGGAAATGCGTTTTCTTAGACATGCTAAAATGTTGAGAGGCTATTGCAAGAATAAATTTTCATTGTTTACATCTTGACGTATTCAAGTATGTACGTATTGAAACTTATGCAACACATGGGAATCTTTATTGAAGAAACGTTTCGCCACACAGTGGCTTCATCAGTCCAATACAAAGTAGAAATGGGTACGGAGAGTAGAAGTTTGAGGTAATCAGTTCCTCAACCTGGAATCGATGTGTTCAGTCCATCACTCTTGTGATGGACTGAACACTGTGTGGCGAAACGTTTCTTCAATAAAGGTTCCCATATGTTGCATAAGTGTCTCAATTTTTCAGCTTGTCGGTTTTCAAAACCATTCATCACATATGTACGTATTCTTAAGTATAATGTAGACCAAATTTCTCACCCCATTCTCCTCATCTGTTTCTTCTTCTACGTATATATAATTTTTGTTGGTATAAACCTTGGTAATAAATACCGACAAGTTGGTTTAGAAAGACACGTAAGCAAACACTATAACATATTTATTAGAAAACGTTTCGGTCCTGGGACCTTGATCACTTCTAGAAGTGATCAAGGTCCCAGGACCGAAACGTTTTCTAGTAAATATGTTATAGTGTTTGCTTACGTGTCTTTCTAAACCATAATTTTTGTTACTCCGCTCTGTGATAAATTCCTGGTTATGGGATAGGCCATCCTGAGAGATGGTTATTCCCAAGTAATAATAACCCCAGCTCTGTGTATAACTGGTTTAAAAAAAACACAAGTTGATAGATGAGACACTTGTGCAACATTTGGGAATCTTTATTCTGGAAACGTTTCGCCAGCCAGTGGCTTCTTCAGTCCAGTGCAGAGAAAGGTGGCAGATGAGGAGGAGTTCCAGGTAATCAATCCCTCAGTTCCAGCAGAACTGGAACGAACTTTTAAACTCCCGTAGCTGATGAACTCTTGGTAAGTAAGACACATAAGCCACAGTTAGACATCTTGATTCAGGAACGTTTCGCCTACACAGTAGGCTTCTTCAGTTGAGTACAGAAAGTACGCCTGGAGAAGCCTACTGTGAAGGCGAAACGTTTCGGAATAAAGATGCCTAACTGTTGCCTATATGTCTTACCAACCTGTCAGTATTACCTACCATTTTGATATTCACACTGATGAACTCTGGATGGAACACTTGACGATATCCTCATTGCTCTACTGACGTCACCAACTCTGGCTGCAAGATTTTAATATTATACATGATATTGTGTGTAATGGAGTGTTAGAGGGAAACACAGCAAGCTCTGGTTACCACTATATAAGTATCGTATACAGTAATGTAGCACAACACCGCTCATATATGGAAATAAATGGTATAAAATACTGAAACAGTGAAAATATAAACACATATGCAGTATAATGTGATCCTTTATTGACAACGTTTCGCTCTCCAGGAGCTTTATCAAGCCATTACAAACAATCCATGGACACAGAGGGTATATAAAGGCTCAGAGTGAGGTGCAATACTTTGAGCCTTTATATACCCTCTGTGTCCATGTATTGTTTGTAATGGCTTGATAAAGCTCCTGGAGAGCGAAACGTTGTCAATAAAGGATCACATTATACTGCATATGTGTTTATATTTCCACCGCTCATATATCAATTTTTTGCTAAATAAAAAAAATAGTGTAATGTTGGTAGAATTACCGATAATATGATAGTAAAAAGAACACGAGTGCAACTAATGTGAAGATTAAAACACGTGTGCAATATTGGTCGGTATTTTATGCCATTTTTAGCAGCTAATGTGACATTTTATTGTGGCAACGTTTCGCTTTTGAGGCTCAGCAAAGCTCCTGGAGAGGAAACGTTGCCACAATAAAATGTAACATTAGTTACACTTATGTACTTTTACCTAACAAAAAAAAAAGTACATGGGGAGTATATAAGCAGAGAGAAACATTACGTTCCTTTGTGATAACGACACTTACACTGATGCGTTCTTACAGACACTTCACCACCAGCTAACGTTAACAGATTAGAATCGCCTGATCTGGGAGGTCAGGTCATGCCCAGATTCACTTGGTCTGGGAGGTCAGGTCATGCCCAGATTCACTTGGTCTGGGAGGTCAGGTCATGCCCAGATATTTCTCACCAAAAGGTGAGAAATATGTAGACAGGTGAGGTATTCTCTTTCTCAGGGAAAATGATAAATCTTTTTCCTGTTCCTGACCTTAGTAATGAATTTATGGTCATATGACCTAGATCTTCCATTGTTTCACTCGGTGAAAATTAATGTAAAATAGTTATCGTAAAGGGACCAAGACTCTTCATCACTCTTTTCTCATATATAAGAGGGGATCACCAATAGTTCCATGGCTGTCTTATAGAGGAAGCTCGGCAAGTTCCTCAAGTTAGTTTCTGATCAGTCAGGCTGTGGTGGGTACGGATGGGTTGCATGCGTCTAGCACCAACAGTTTAATTGATCAGGCCAGCCACTAGGGGACCTGGTCTGGGACCGGGCCTCGGGGGCGTAGATCCCCGAAACTGCCTTCACAAGTGACCATATATCACCTTGTAATAATAATAGTAAAATTACCGACAATATGTTAGGTAAAAGACACATGTGCAACTAATGCAACATTTTCTTGCAGCAACGTTTCGCTCTCCAGGAGAGCGAAACGTTACCACAATAAAATGTCACATTAGTTGCACTTGCGTCCTTGTACCTGAGATATGTCACCTGTTATGTACACACAAGTACACGTCGTGGGCGTATGTTGCAACGCACCAGCGCAGTATCTCCACTAACTACATAAACATGTTTGTGAAGTAGGGGGCAGTACGAGCCCTGGTAAACTGTGAAGTAGGGGGCAGTACGAACCCTGGTAAACTGTGAAGTAGGGGGCAGTACGAACCCTGGTAAACTGTGAAGTAGGGGGCAGTACGAACCCTGGTAAACTGTGAAGTAGGGGGCAGTACGAACCCTGGTAAACTGTGAAGTAGGGGGCAGTACGAACCCTGGTAAACTGTGAAGTAGGGGGCAGTACGAACCCTGGTAAACTGTGAAGTAGGGGGCAGTACGAACCCTGGTAAACTGTGAAGTAGGGGGCAGTACGAACCCTGGTAAACTGTGAAGTAGGGGGCAGTACGAACCCTGGTAAACTGTGAAGTAGGGGGCAGTACGAACCCTGGTAAACTGTGAAGTAGGGGGCAGTACGAACCCTGGTAAACTGTGAAGTAGGGGGCAGTACGAACCCTGGTAAACTGTGAAGTAGGGGGCAGTACGAACCCTGGTAAACTGTGAAGTAGGGGGCAGTACGAACCCTGGTAAACTGTGAAGTAGGGGGCAGTACGAACCCTGGTAAACTGTGAAGTAGGGGGCAGTACGAACCCTGGTAAACTGTGAAGTAGGGGGCAGTACGAACCCTGGTAAACTGTGAAGTAGGGGGCAGTACGAACCCTGGTAAACTGTGAAGTAGGGGGCAGTACGAGCCCTGGTAAACTGTGAAGTAGGGGGCAGTACGAACCCTGGTAAACTGTGAAGTAGGGGGCAGTACGAACCCTGGTAAACATCACTCGTGGCTGCTGCACAATACTATAAAATACCGACAAGTTGAAGATTAAGACGTATGTGCAACAGTTGGGTATCTTTATTGATGAAACGTTTCGCCCACACAGTAAACTTCTTCAGTCAAATACAGAGACAGTAGTGACAATGAAATAAAGATGTAATCAGTCGATCAACCTTGGAGAAAAAGTATTTGAGGTGGTCAGTCCCTCATTGTGACTTTGTAAATGGTCCAAATCGGACCGAAACGTCGTCGTAAGCTCCTCTCTCCTATGTGCAGGTTATTTGTGTATTGTTCCAGTCACGGTATTCCGCCTTTTTGTTCTTCCTCCATTTTGTAAATATGTATCACATTTGTAATTATTTACTGAGGAAACTACGTACTGGTTTATTATGCTTCCCGTCACATTGCTCAAGAACACTTGATAAGAGTTGGTCGAGGACCAGTGACTTTGTGCTTGTAATCTATCTGAGAACAATGTCGCTTGTGATGGTCATCTTGCGTAATGTTGTCATCTTATCTTGTTGATTCTTGGGATATCACTTGTACTGTATTATGTAAAATATACACGCAGTAAATGTAACACACGGAACACATTTCTTCGTCATTAAAAGTAAGACGTGCTGAGTTAGATTTTAAGTAGGCCAGTAGGCCTGTCATTTCTCAACTCTTAGCCGTATACCAACACAGAATTTAGACCTGAAAGTACGAGTGGCCACATCAGTATTATCATCACAACTGCAAGAAAATGATGTGCTGGATAATTAGAAGTTTCAAAGCAAGAGATGTCAAGTGATCTTCTTTAAGTCACTTGTTCTCATAGACTAATATTGCTGTACACTAACAGTAACTTTATCCAGATCTGCAATTTCGCACATCTGGAAA